CAATGACAACACGGTGACTTGTGTGGTTGTCAGCGGCCATTTTGTGAGGGTGCGACAGGGTTGCCAGATTGTGCATTAATATCCCCTTTCACCCTGCTGGTCCCAGTGGAGTAAGTTCCGCCAACTGTTGAAATATACTCTACTATGCTTTATAAGACTATTCGTGACATTTTTCCCAAAATCATTGCACAATACTTGAAAAAATGCAAATGAAAATTTAAAATTATTTCCATGACGCCGCAAAATAGCGCCGTCGGTACCTTGGGTTATACATCTTGACAGTGGGGATGTTCGATACGATCCTATATTTAGAAGTATCAATACATTTCACGAGTATCGTCATCTTTCGATCCGGACTATGTCAGAAAGAGTGACTGCCATTTGGCTGCGACATTACCCTGCCAAATCAGACATACCTTTCATCATTTTCAAAGAAATTGTAAAAAATCCTGAAATTTGTGAAGTTAGCGAGTTTCACTTCATACGTTGTTATCAGACATGCCCAAATCATTAGCTGCTGCTGTGATATCCATCCCGACCACTGCATCCCCACGGCTAGGCGACCTATATGTTTAAATTTGTATTGCAGCGGGTTATGCTATAAATCATATGTCACAGTGTTTGTGCACTGATTGCAACGGTTAGATGATACCAAAAATATTTTCATAAATAGGAGATCGTTCCCATTCCGGATCGAACAATCTACCAAAGATGCTTATAATCATGATACCTAGTAAATTTTCAAGAAAAAAATTCAAAACCAGCAAATGTAGGTAAAAGATTCATTTCGCACCCTCCACCACGGGACGTGATCGTCGTTAGACTTGGCAACCCTGCGAGTGACAGATAGATATAACCGCCAGTCAAATAGACAAACAATAAACATTACTAGTTTTTATGATTTTTGGACTTAAAAGACATTATTTGTGAAACATTTTTCATAATTTTTTGTCTATGTCCATAGTAATTGCATTATGCATCAGGGAGATGTAGGGATTGACACGTCTTACACATATTATCTGTGTTTTATTATGGAAAGGACATAATGTTTTTATTGCTTTGAAGAAATCCATTAACCCATAAATTAATAAATGATTACTATTATGACGTAAAGGAAGATGAGGAATTGGATGGAATGTATTTTATATTCTATTTTCTTGCAAAATACAGACAAATCCACATTGTTACAGTTATGTAATGATAACTTTCAGTATATTGAAGTTGGTAAATTCGAGAGTGCCATGCATTAACAAACGTCCAAATCTGCTGCCAAACTTAACAGCTAGAAAATCAACCTATTATTTGCCGCATTCCCATTTGCCGAGGGGATAACGGATTGTTAAATGTAAACCTATAACATATATCAAAATACATGAAACTGTTTTTTCTGTACAAAAGCATCATGTTGGAATCAAAAATTGGTCTTGTTTATAATACAGTCGAATTTTCACGATTCTATTCAATATTTCACTAGAAATCACTAATATTCAGAGACCTTTGACAGCTTCTGTCAAATTGCATTTCGATAAGGTATTTTCCCATTGGTCCATAATATTAATGTTAGTGAAATTGAGCCTAAGAGTGTTTTTGTATAACAATGTTCTATTACCTTTTAGGTATCGAATCCATCTGATTTCTCTCCTATTTTCTGTTTACTCATGACTTGAAATATAATCCAGCACAATTCAAAAATTGCGATTGTTCCATTTCATGTACCAAAAAAGGTTTCTTCTGACCTACTAGGCGTATGAGTTAAGCCCATTTATGATGATATACAATTTTCAAATTTGTTTTTCTCTTTTTCTTCTCAAATAGGCTGCCTTCTGTGTCAGCCTCCATATGTGTATGGCCAGGTACCAAAAATGTATGGTCAATGATAGCCAAATTGAGACAATTCTCCAATGCAGTTAGACAAGCAGCAGAAATATATCTTATTCTGTCCACCGCATGAATCAGACGACATAACGATATGAGAAACTGAGGTATTGAGATTCTTTGTTAAGTAGTCAAAATGGTACGAACCTATCTCATTACCACCCGTCTTCGCCAGCGATTCAAACCACAGGTAACAAAACGCTTGGGAATCATCACAGTCATGAACTGTGAGATTGTAAGTCCACAGTTCACGCTTATAAAATGCTTCTCCACTTTGTATGTCTGGTGTTGGCAGACACTGCTGTAAATCGAAGCAGATAGCTTTCATTGTAGGGTCTCCGTTTAACATTGTATCCTTCATCAGCTTGTTGATTATGCTTGGTCAAATCTCGTTCCAATTTGGCATTCTCTTCTTCTGACTTGGCCATTTTTAATTGCAATTGGAGTTTGTCGCAAATGCAGCAAGTATCTTTTTTTGGTTGCGTTATTTTTATATTTAAACTGTGAAAGATTTCTTCGTAGGCTCTCCAATTTATAAAGTTTGTAGGATGTTTCATTTTATAGGCCTGGTACAACAACGCGAACGTGTACGCAGGAATGGATAAGATGTGTTCTTTGGCTTTTTGTTTGTCTTCGTCGCATATCTTGTTTCTGTTAGCGTGAGACCCTCTACTATCCAGTGGCATAATTCCTGAAATATTACCTCTCTTCTTCTGGATTATGATTTCAATGAATTTATTAGTGGATGTCAAATGTCCTGAAACACCCTTTGCATGTACGTTGTAAGTTATTCTTTATTCTAAGGTGGTACATTGCAGTATCAATATGTCTTTTATTGCTACCTATCTTACGAATTCTAGTAACTTTCACGCGGTTAAGACAGATATATTGTTGGTGAAAAGAAGATAAGTCTACTTATCTCCTTAGAGCACGCCACGTAACTATTATAATTCTGTGAACAAGGCGATAATATGACTTGACTTCCTTTACATTGGATAATTCTACAATTTACATAACTCTTTAGTGTATTAGCTATATCTCCGCACCTGGAACTAATATGACTTATCCCGCTTTACACTCACAAAGATGGACGTCTATAAGTTCGGTATATGACTTATTCCCGTTTTACCAAAATTATGACTTATCCCCGTCTTCACCCACTTCAGCGATATAATACAGCGAATTCCTGTTTTGAGTAGAGTAGTAACAGTTATAGAGTAGAAAAGCTAGGACCAGTGGTTTATAAAAACGCAAACGTTTGTATCTTGCTTTGAGATTAAATATCGACATGTGTGACAAAACTTGTGTATGGCTTTTTAAACTCGTACATGGTAGCTCCAAATATTTTAAACCTGTTTTTAAAGCTTTAATAGTCACTTCGTATCGAAGGAATAAATATTCAATGCCTTACAAAAAGGAATTTTTCGAACGGATTAAGCCAGCAAGCTAAGATAAGACGTACTGAAATTGATACAAGAATTCTATATATTAACGTAAACGAGACAGACGCAGATTTGAAGATGGTGGCTAGGCACCATTCTTGGAACATTTTTTCAAATAGAATAGGAGTCGTGTAATAACTCATTTTGAAGCTCTTTCTGGGTAATTCATGACTTTAGAATATAAAATCATGATCTTTCAAAATAGCAAACTGTCAAAGTTGAGCGTTTTTGTACATTGAGTCGCTTATAAATCAACAACCAACAATTACCAAAATGCAATCAATTTTTTTTCTTGGAAGGGTCTATCCGGAAATGTAATAAAATATGAGATATTGCATTTAAGAAAATTATCATTTATCTGAATGTCTTATATTTTATCGGACATTGAATAGAAAAAAATTGATATAAGATACTACAAAGTTTTGATGAGTACTAGTTGAGTTATATTCGATTCTATATACAAAAACGCTGAACTGTCAGTCTTGCAGTCCGCAACTTTGTATGCGAGTGATTTTATATTCTAAGAAGCTTCAAAAGTATTGATAAACAGAAAAATGTATTTTCCAGCTGCAAAGGTGAAAGAATACTTTCTGCAGAAAAGCATTTGCTATTTTTCAAGTTCTTTAACGGTTAATCAACGTTTTCTGTGCTAGTATATTTTAAGATTCGGTATTTGAAGAAGTCTTAAAATATCCATAGAACTTTACACGTTGGGAATGTAAAACTATGTTATGTTCATCGAAATTGCACAAACCAGATAGTTACCGGTTTTCTTAGGGGCAAAATGACATTCCTTTCAATATTGGCCACCCACTCAAAAATTTTAAAAAAGAAATCTTGAAAAGAATACTACAATATTTGTTCATCCCTCGAAACGTTGTCTAGTTGCATGTTTATTTTCTTACTTGATAAACCACCAGAATAATTTTTTGTAGCAAGTTTTCTAAAAAATCCCTAAAATTGTACATAAAATTGTGCTGAATATATTTTGCAAATTAAAGTTTTTTTCCGGGGCAAGAACCACCTGGCCTACCTCTGCGGGCGCCCATGAGTAGACTGACCTCAGATTCATCATCAACGCACAACATTTACCCAACGAGCAGGTTTTAACATTTTTCAAAACTTATCTTCTCTGAGGAACCACAGTAGTACCTACTAGTACTATGCTGATTGATATTATTCTTCTATCGCATAGAGTAGAATGGGGTATTATGGCAACTTGTTTTTTATTGGACCATAAATCTGTAATGTCTCCATTCAGCCTTGCAATCGAACTGGCTAGACGGTCCTTAAAGTATGAGGTATGGTTAACTAAGTCCGGTTTTGTGCTGGTTTGACCGTAGTTCCAATAGGAAACAAAATTCTCGAATAATGACAAATTGCCATATTCCCCCAGCATCAGGGTAATATGGCATAGGACATTGGGAAATATGGCAACATGCGATTTGCATAAGGATTCATTTAATTTATGACAAAAAACATAAACAAACATATTTTTTAAGAAATGTTGTTTAACATATCAAAATATAAGTAAACCTAATCAGAATCCAAAGTTAATCTAAAATAAGTTCAAATATGTCAAATAAGAAATAAAAAGAAACTTGAACTAGAATGAAAAACAAACATTCAATTTTTCCATTTCATATCGTTTGCCAGCTGTTGAAGTGGGATACAATCCTTGCACTATAAGTCAGATCTTGTGCAGATCTCATGGATCCAGTCTGAACACCTCGTGCATTGTATCCAATCGCATTTGGGACCCTTTTTGTCGAAATAATATCCACCGCATTCTGCACAAATTTCAGAACGGTCTACTTCTATTTCTGATTCACCACTTTCCTGTGTAACTACTTCCGTTTCGCTTTCGGACGAACTAGAATCAAATCGGGCTCTTCTACGACTTTTTTCTTTGGCAAGCTTTTTGTTACTTCCTGCCTTTTCCTTAGTATTGCTACTGTGTTTCTCATCCGTTTTTTTCATCCGTTGCTGGGATTTCATCAGTTTCGCAGATCTTTTTTTTCTTTGGCCTCTTTTTTCTCTCGTTTTGCTGCTACTACCTCTGGTGATGTTAGTACCTCTGCATGCTGTTTTCGCTTCTGGCACCCACTCGTTCCTGGTATGCACGGAACCGCTGAAATAGCTTCAAATGGATTTTGATCTGGATCAGCTGTCTTTGGAGAACGCCCGTTGTTTTGGTTGTTGGCATCAATAATGACATGAGCAGTGGCTTCCCCAATATTTTCATCCGGTGAATTCTCATTTCTAAGAGCAGCATTTGCAGTATTTTTGCAGATAAAAGCATATTCTGGGATTTTGGATTTATCAAAAGGAAGAATACCACATGTCCTAAATCCTGATACTGCATTTTGAACTGAGGCAGCTTTACACCATGCAGTATTGAGGAGTGACGGAAACTGCAATCTGGAGAGTTTGCGACCGGGATTGTTTTGTACCCATTTCTTACATGCTTCATTCCAATAAACCTTAAGAGGCTTGAAGAATGATCTATCTAATGGCTGCAGCCAATGAGTAGTGTGGCTAGGTAGGCACAACAGAATTATGTCATTGGCTGTTGCCAGGTCTAGTATTTCCACATCAGAGCAATGAGAGGAATGACCGTCAAGGACGAGGAGTACTTTGCCTTGTTCTTTACGTGGAATAAAGTGATGAAGAAGCCATGCTTTGAAAATATCCGTAGTTACATACGCCGATTTTTCACTCATTACAACTGTACCACCTGGTGGCAATCCGTCTTCAAATTCTTTTTTCTTGTTTTTTCCCTTCATAATGCAGTAGGGTGGAAGGAAATGACCTTCTGCATTCACGCAGGCTATAACTGACACAGTCTCACCTTTCTCTGCACTTGTTACACAATTTACCATTTTGGAACCTCTGGTAGCAATTACCTTTCCTGGGTTGTTATTTAGCTGAACCCCAGTTTCATCTACATTGAAAATTTTTCTGGGAGCGGATATTAGGTTATTTTCTGTTAAAAGGTTCCCGAGCAGGTCAAAGTAATGATCGCATTCTTCTTTGTTCATACCTTGAGCTCGAGCCGTTGACATTCCCTGAGCTTTTCGAATGGATAAATTTGGATGTCTCTTCATAAAAGAGCAGAACCAGTCATGGCCAGCTTCTTTTTTCTCCGGATTAAAATTATTTTCTATGTTATTACAGATGGCAAAAGAGTACGCAATCTTTTTTACGTCTACAGGTGTTAACGCAAAACCCATCTTCTCCATTTTTTTGATATAATCTACCAAGCTTCGTTCATGTTCTGGACTTAGATAACTCTTACGCCCTAACTTGACCTTGTTTGCGTTTCCTGATTGGATCCTCCTCATTAAGGTCCTAACAGGCACAGCATATGTCCGACTTATTTGCCTTATTGAACCACGACCACATCTAACATCTGAGATTGCATTTATCAGATCTTCTGCCGACCACATGGCCCTCACATTTTTCTTGGTGTAATTTCGTGGCATCTTCTTTACTCTGAAATTTTAAAATGGTAAATGATACATACTGGGATAATATGCCGCATTTTGGGGTAATATGGCAGTATTATGGCATATTACCCCAAAGCGTATCTTCCAGATTTAGCAAATCATAAACTCATGTCTAGTGAAATCTGGTTATCCTACGTGGCATAAAAAGTTAGGTTATGTACCGCAGATTCCATGGTCCCTACTGGAAATAGCATCAAAATACTTACAACTGCATTCACATCGGCAAAAATCTTATTAAAAAATAATTTGAGCAATGTACTTACCTTGTATTTACGTATTTTTTCCTAAATACTGTTAAATACTCCTCTTTGAATATTTTCCGCGATGAAAACAGCAAATCAACGTGCACTTGACACCTACCTGGACGCCCCCTCGCGATTTACAACGGAAATATTGAACTGCGGCGTATTACCCATGGTGCCATATTACCCCACTTTACTCTATATCAAATGTTTGAACATTTAGTTTAATCTTTCGATAACATAAAAATAAAGCTCTTTTCGTTTGTTGCAGGCGACAAACGGCAGAAGAGCGCGAGGCCGAACGTCAAGCAGCAAACAGACTGATGCTGAGCCTCCAAGCAGAAGCCCTCAGCAAAGGTTATATGGGTGATGCCGCCGCTTCTGCTGCTGGACCGCCTCCTCAATCCGCAGGCACCGCCCCTTCAGACACAGCGCTAACGGCGTTGCAGAATCTTCAACCGTGGGCGGGACCTTATGCAGCCGCGGCCGCTGCTGCTGGCGCTACGCAACCTCCTTTGACCGAGCCGCTGTGTTGAGTGGACGTCGTTTGTATTAGCGCCGCCCAAATGGTGTTAGGCGCCGCCTTCCTGGCGCGGCGCTAGAAAACTTCCAAATATGGGCAAAGCCGTATGCACTATCTGGCATTAGCCGATATGCTCTGTAGGTTCTCGACAGAACCATACAAACAAAAAAGTTGCAATTGCCACTGGTTAAGACGCGGTGTTAAGTGGGCGTAATTTATACAGCGCCGCCGCCCAGTAGACGACATACACATGGAGAATAAAGAAAATGCAATAGACTTATTGATTGTTGTTCATTTGCGAATTGTTTGTATATTGAGAAAGATGTTTTTGTAAGTCGTGAAATACGGTCTGAAAAGTTAATGCGGGCTTAGATATACTACAAAATGAAACCTGAAAGTTTGACTGATTACTTTGAATACCTTGTGTTACTAGTTTTTTAAGCCTGCAATGAAATTACATTGTCACCGCAACATACTTTGAATTGATGTAAGAAGACGCACAATCTTTGAGTGTTACAAACAATAATTCCAATTCAGCAAAAACACATTTTAGATGTAAAACTGGTCCAAAGAATCATCTTCAAAGCATTCCAAGGTATTCAATAAAGGGCTAAGATCAAGAGGTACATTCAGTCATTTGAACTGAATTGCTCAATATTCTACTCAATAATATAGAAAAAACAAAATATAGAAAAGCAGTTAAGCATCTTGTTATTGATCTTCTGGTCATCGAGTATGTATCGGAGTCTAATTTTACTGTACGATTAAATAAGTGAGAACTTGCTGATATCTACAACTTTTTCGAGCAAAAAATATCAAGCAGCAGCCTCATAAGAGTAATAGCATTCTACAATTACGAATGTACCTGCTGTTTAAAACAGTGAAAATATTTTGAGGGTATTATTTTGTTTTTTGTACATAGTGTTTACTATAAATGCTTCTTCATTATATCGCTTTTATAGCAAACGACAAATGACAAATTAATGTAGCACCACTGAAAATACTTCCACTGACTTCACTCCCTAATTTTTGACTTTTGTGTGCAATATGAAATGTACAGTCATTTACAGTTTTCTGTGGTACTTTTACATGGTTCAAAAGTTCCTCTAGGCTTGCCCTGGATTATTATGTAGGTAGCTGTTGCAAAAATAAAAGAATCTCGAAAGCAAACAGTACACATCAAAAATGAGGTATTGTACTGGAAATGGATTGGTTTATAGTACAATTTTACATGTTGAATAGGATATGTTTACCTTCCATCTCTAACATATGTCTATAACCAACCGTATACTACGTTGTTTCATGAATCTCACCACGGTTGGCGAACTATTCATAGGTGGCAGTGTCACTTCTTCGAACAATTGGACATATTGACTACTTTGATTCCAACTATTGTACTTACTTCCAACAACTACCAGATTATTTTTGTGATGCCTCACATTTAGTGACATTGTAATAGCACATTTAATCAGTAAATTTACAAGTGGGAAACTAAAGTAACTTGGACTATGTCTCAACTTCACCTGAACTATTATCCATAATAATTGTTCCTCATTGTAATTTACAGATTAACTGCATCTCAAATAAGTCAGTAAACCGCCACCACAGCAATGAACTTTTTGGGACAAATTTTTGCGTAAGCGAAAGTGGGCAGTCAGAATGCTCTGCATAATAAGACGGACGGCCGTTATGTAATGAACGTATCTTCAGAAGTGGCATTGCTTTGTATATACTGTGTCATATATAAGGGGTGTTACTTAATGTTAGGCCTTAATTGCAAACCAAAAAGTAGAAACGTTCATATGAACATGTGTCCCAAAAAAATCCTTGTATCGATTTTGTTGAGTTTTAGCAATGTTATCATTGCAATAAGACGCCAAGTTAACACTTTCTAGAAGGTAATTATGAATTGTGAGTTATTTAGGGGAGCAGTTAAACTAATGATGTTGATAAAGAAATGTAAGCTACTGGCTTTTAAATATACAGGGTGACTTCGAAGTTGAGTCATTTATTTTAACAGTGAGTAGATCTGATCAAAAGAAATGTTTTTTTCCTTTAACATTTTTGTGGTAAAATTAAAGTAACAAAGTTATAGCCCTTTAGAAGTTTGAGTACCGCCCTGTCTCAATAATAATATTATGTGCTCGTGTTTGGCAACAACGTATATAATCCGCCTTATCGGTTCATCGCAGCGGAAACAAAAAAGCGAAAGAATTTGAAACGCTGATCACGATGTTTTTATTCAGTCAATGTGTCAGTCGGTAACGCGTGGGTGAATAGTGGTGTTTGCTGCGTGGCTCAAACGAAATAAAAAATGGCACATGTTTATGCGGATCGGTTTCCCAATCGAGTGCAACCAACCCCTCGTGCCTTTGTTAATGTAGTACAACGGGCTCGTGAATCAGGTGACTTAAGACCTCACAGGGGAGGGCATGCCGGTGCTCCAAGACCTCACGATCAAATACAGGTTCGCACTGAAATACTTGTCGGGAGGATACTTTATAAAACAAGGTAAACATTTTTTTTAATTTTTTTTTTATTTTTACACACATATTTTGGTTTATCTTCCTTCTACAATCATTATCTGAAAATTAATGACTCAACTTCAAAGTCACCCCCTGTACATATATATATATATATATATATATATATATATATATATATATATATATATTGTATTGTTTTCGGATTAAGCAGCTGATAATACAACTTTTTTGTCTCTTGTTGTATATTCGTGCTTTACTTTATTTTCAAGTAAAAAAAGAACTTTACACGTTAAAAAATTGTTAAAAGAAAATTATATCAACTTTGGGCGTTGCTGAGAAATTAAGTTATTCTGTCGTTATGATGTTTTTGACTTTCCGTGATTTGCTATTATTTTTCCTTTGTCAAAAGCAGTTTTTTACTATCTACCCCACTGGGAGTTAAATAAAATTTCGAAAATGAAATTTTGTTTTTTGATATTATGTACATCACGAAAAACCTTGTCTCTCATTTCCGCCGGTCTGTCGGTCTGTCTGTCTGTTAATCCCTGGTCCGCCTATAGCTTGAGAAGTACCGCTCGGATTTTAATGAAATTTTCATTCAAGGACGAAAAAGATTTGTAGTTTTTTAAAATTGCCCTGTGGCAGCAACTTTGTTTTTGATGCTTCAGGGGATCCAGATCATTTTCAGAAAAAAAATTGCAGCGGTTAAAAAGTAGATGTTTGTGATTGTGGGAATGGGGAAGGGTATTATGTCATTCTTTTCGATGCTAGCAATTTATTACGTTTCCAACCCCGGTAATTCTACGCACCTCTAAGTATTATAAATATTTCATATATCGCAGATTTACCCGTACATTTGCTCTGAAAACTTGAATATAGGCGCACCGGACAACGTAACGAGCATGCGCCTGTCTGCTATGAATGAGAAATTTCCCGAATGTGGGGAGAAAAAACTATGAGTTATCCACAATCGTCCCTCAAATTTGTTTTGAGAAATTAAATTAAAATTAAAACATTTAAACTATGCAGTGCTGCTTTGATTGTTTAAAATGTGGTAGTGATGAGTTTGTGGTGATACGTGGTATGTTTTTATTTGTACCAGATAACAAAAAGGTTTTCGTATGGAGGGAAATTCCAGCTTACTAAATAAAGCTCCGAAAAATATGTATATACCTAGTTAATCGACCATATAGTGATAATTAACATTGAAGTTGTCGATATTATTTAAGGGTGAGATTTAAAATCCTCGCATTTTCTTCGTTTACTGCCAATCCCCCACTTAACTTGAGATTCCCCGCAATGTAAGGAATGTTGCACAAATTGGCAACTCTGGAGCGATGCATCGCCGAGCGGCGTTGCCACGTTGCTGGGTTGTCGGTATTGTTGGTGGGGCGGTCGGCTGGATCGCAATATTTTTAAATCTGACTATGGTCTAATTGTACGAGCCTTTTTGACTAACATGATCAATTTAATTTCTTTCTAATGCGTGTTCATAACCAACTTTTTTGTAAGAGGGATCAACTTATGCCGAATATGATATTTTACGATTTGATGTCTGCGTCACGTAGGAAGTGCAGAGTCAACCTGCTTTATACCATTTGTTCAAACTTGTATTGTCTGAATCTTGGAAACCAGAGTTTTTAAAATATATAACATGTTTATGTGAACTTTTCTACTTGAATTTGTTTAAATAATACGATCTTGTAATTAAGGCCTACTATTACCATAAGTAACACCCTGTATAAACTCAGTGAATCATAACTGTAAAAATGGCTGAATTAATGTATATATCTATATAATATAGTTAGCTGTGAAATGACAAAAGACGTTAGTGATACGTTCCAAATCCGTACTTAATATACACATGCAAACAAACAAATGATTCAAAAAATGAATCTTCTGATGTAATTACCGAAACGTAGTGTGATTTATGTATAATAAATACCGTAATTGTAGATAATTTCCGAGCTATTATTGTAAGCACTAGAAGTACGATGGCTGCATTAAAAATAAAAAGTGATACCATTTAATGATATTGTTTCTTTGTATCAACCATGCAAATCCCTGAGGTGGTAGACCATGAAATTATTATTCAGGATCGCTTTTCAAAATGGAGATAATTGGAGCTGTTTGTACATATGTGCTGTCGTCACGCGAACAATGAGACGTACTCAGACTCGTATTCATAAACGCAGCAATGTAGAATAGCTGGTTCGCAAGTGGGTATGAAAAAATTGGCATAAATTAGTACTTTGGCTTCAAAGGCAAGCATCGCTGCCTCACCTTAAATTTTGCCGGTAGTAGGCGCTAATTCGGTCAAACGATGGGTGCTCAAAACTTCTGCTCTCATAAAAATCTAATGGCTTTTAAAACGCTCTCTGTTACCTAAAATCCTCCACCCGGAAAGTTTCCAGGGTATTTGACAGTTACCGGATGGTGGCAGGGGAAATTGATAGGGGTGATGTTCGGCTATTGAGTTTGTTGGAGTTTCGTAAACGTAAATGATTTTGGTCTCTTGTGGAACGCTTGACGGAGAACTTTAAGCGGAATTATTAATCTCCATGTTAGTAGGTAATCTGCTGCAATGGTTTATTTGCGTCCCATGTCCTGGCGAAGTAATAACCTCGTCATGTATATGCATACACTCGTACTAACAATTCTAAATTCTATTCACACAATTATTTTTTTATCGGAAATTACTTCTTAGTGTTTTGAAATTATCCCCCGAAGCACATACAACGTAATTATATTTCAGAGTTTTTCTTTTCATGCCTTTTTTCGCTTCTTTGGCGCACCTCTATATAAAGAGGTACACAAATAGTTCGAGAAATAAAGTCAGGTAGGACCCTTTATTGTAGGACGCCTTTATGGACTCCCTGATTTACATATTTTTCTACTGTTCCGTGTCAGCGTTGTATTTTGAGGTTATGTTACAAATATCTATTTGCCCATCAAATTGTTCAGGCTTTTAATTTTTATCACCTGTTATATAAGCCTGAAATTTCCTACAATTCAAAATTAAAACATAGCCTCACAATAGGAAAGCTATGACGCTGACATGGAATAGTATAAATTTTCTGGAGAAGAGAAAAGACTACGAAAATCAAGGAGGGCATAAAGACGCGTCCTACAATTATAGGAACGACTGATGATAAGGCCCTAAATCAATGATCTCCAAGAAATCTGAGCGGAGGAGGCGTTATGTTTCAAAAAAGTGTCGTTGGTATACACCTTATAGATGATTTCATCCGTTGTTCACAGTATTCCATCATGAATCAATGCATTTATTCTTGTCAGTATCCCCGTATATTATGCGACAGAGCAAACCTTGGCAACAACGTGTAGACCGAGAATCCATGACCGGGTGTATAAATTAATACTAGTAATTAGTTGACTCCGACGACTGTCTTATTAAAAATAGATTATACGGGACCTTATTCAGTGATTTATCATGTCACAATTCACTTGTTCTGCAATTTTGTACCAGTATCCCTATAGTCTTTTTCAGGAGTACCTATCCATTACGTTTTGATGTCTATTAAGGTAGCTGATCGGCAAGTGACATATTTCTATTAAATACTGTAGTTTTCATACCAAAGATAGTCAAAACATGTTTAGCTTGTGATCTTCCTACGTGACTGAATTACTTATAGTCATGATCATTAACAGCCATTTTACTTACAACTGTCAAATTGAAATTTTACTTTCCGCACCTACTGGCCGAAATCGCGAAAATGAGATATGTTATTTGGATGTTACGTACATCACGAAAAACCATCTCACTCATTTCCGACGGTCTGTCTGCCTGTCGGTCTGTCCGCTACTCCTATAACCGCCTATATCTACAGAGGTACCGCTCGAATTTGGATGAAATTCTAACACAATATAGAAAAGCCAAAAAAAAAATATGAAAATCGGTCGAACTTTTAGAGGACCCTGCTCATTTTTTAAAAAAGTTTTAGAGAGAAATACATTTGGTGGTGGGGCTGTAGGGGATGGGAAGGGCTTGATTCGATTTATCGACGTTAGTACATTTATATGCTCCCATCCGTGGTAATTATACGCACCTATTATACATATTTCATCTTGGATTTCTCCCTTAAAACTTGGAAAAATAGTCACAGTCTTTATGAGGTATTTTGAAATGTTACTAGATCATTAGCTATTATTTGCTTTCTCGTTTGACGTAACGGATTCTCGTGAAAAAGACTGTAACAGGCACAGTGGTATATGCTGTGAGTCCACTAACCAAATCGCCGTGAGCTGCACTGTTTCGAATCTTGTCACAAGACAATTTCTCTCTTGACTATGGATGTTGTGATTGTCCGTAGGTGACAGACGATCTCAGCTCGTCCAGCATGGAGGCACCACGCAGCGCATCTGGTGAGGTCCTGGTGAGGTCAGAACACATACCACCTACTTTATAAGGGAATCTGTAATGCTAAGGTTTATTACTAAGTTTGTAGCGTCATCTCAGGGACATTCTCCGAACTTTTTATAGAACCTTTACGAACTGTTACAGAACCCTTCAAAAATATCGAATACCTAGCGCCATCTTTGGACTTCCCCATTACACTGTGGCGCTAAATTTGAATTTTATATTCAAATTATATATAAGGTATTTTAGGTAAAATAACGCTCAACCTGATTATATTTTTAAAATGTGTGTTTTTTTAATACAATACATAAAAATAACAGTTATGCAAGTTGTTAGGAATCTAAAAGTAGTCGGTATTAACGATGTACTATCGCGTGCATAAGAAACCTGAACAGCATCTATTGTTATCAGACATGCATTGCCACCGATCTCTTTTCAGTGTGACAGTGCCTTGTTATCTCTTTATAAGATAAGGTCATCGATAGTTCAGGAGATATGCGATGTCCATGTGTTTTCTGCACGTGGTAGTACCTATGTAAAGTATAAAATAACAATCTTCTTGAGAACAAATGAGTAATTAAATTTATAAAAGTAAAAATAGGAAATTTTTTAACTAAGTATCTATTAATTTACTAAAAATAAAATTGAAATATTCTTAATAAATTCAAAAATAAATTTCCAAAAAGGAATATACTGAAAGTAAACTAAATAAAAAATAAAAATAGATACCTTTAACAGTTGCTGAATTTCTAGAAAATTTAAAGAAAATAATGAGTTTTATAAGAATACTCGTGAAATACCTATGAGATTTTATTATTAGATACATAAAACAGAAAAAAAAACTAAAAACTCAATAGCCAATCCTTTTGCCAAAAAAGTAACTTACATTAAAAAACTAACTAACTTAGTGAATTAACAATAAACCACTACAAAAAAAGAACAAAACATATTTTTTGTAAAAAACATGGTAATAGTAGTTCAAGAACAATATTATTTATATATATATATATAAATATTAATTTGCTAATCCCAAGTTTTCGGCTAACAAAAACCACAGACAAATTGTTTGGCAGAATTTGATCCACTACAAAGTTTGTGGATCCACAAACCACATACGGTGGATCTAAAATCTAAACCATAATTCGTTGTCTTTTCCGAACTCCCCACAAGCAAAACAGATATCGTCGTCCTCGTCTCTTGGGGAGTCACTATCATAGGATGAAACTTGCGAATCCGAAGAGCTTTCATCTCTTTTGGTCTTCTTGCTTATTTTTGTCCTATTCTTGGCCCTTTTGTTGCCAAAATTTGCTCTTTTGCCAGAACATGTTGAAGGAATATTTTTTAAATTGTCATTTTTTTCCGAAGTTTGTTTTTTTTCTGCGTATTTTTCTTTGATTCTAAAAAGTTCACAGATGTTAAAATATTTGCGATGGATTTTGATTTTTTTTGTGGACTCGATTCGGAGCTTTGACACAGGTGAAAGTTCTTGCAATAATTTGCTTGGTATTTCTTTTTCTATTTCGTTAGGCTCTTCAGGCAGCAAAAGTGACACTCCACCTTCAACTTGCGGCATTGGTGATGGTGTAGTATCCCTGTTTTGTCTTTCTTCATGATGTGATCTTGACATTTCAGTAGCATCTAGGTCTAGGAGATCGGCAATGGAAAATGAATAATCCAGGATTATGTCCGGATTAAAAGGGTAGCTTCTAGTAGGTCTAAAGCCTGCAGTGGCATTTTCCGGCGTGGCAGATTTACCCCAACAATCCGATAGGAGCTCTCCAAATTGGTATCTAGTGATGCGTCTTCCTGCATGTTGTTTAAGCCAGAGCTGACAGCTTTTATAAAATGCGCTTTTAACCGATTTAAATACCGACCGGTCGAGTGGTTGCAGATAATGCGTACAATGGCTAGGAAAGCATAAAAGAATGATGTTGTATTCTTTGGCATACTGTAGCATTTCTACCGATGAAGAGTGAGACGTATGGCCATCAAGAAGGAGAAGCGTTGTGCCTTCCGGTTTCCTGGGTACAAAGTGTGTTTTTAGCCACCTTAGGAATAAGTCGGGGTTCGTGTACGCTGACTTCTCCGACATAAACAGCTGAGAATCAGGAGGCATTTTGTCATAAAGTTCATGTTTTAAATTTTTTCCTTTCATAATAGCGACAGGAGGAAGAAAAGTGCCCTCGGCATTACAGCAGGCAACAACTGTTACAGTCTCGGCCTTTTCTGCTCAATCAACTGACGAAACTACTTTTGATCCTTTTACAGCCAAAACTTCCCCCGGTCTTGTATTTAGTTGCAATCCGCCCTCGTCCATATTAAACATAGTTTTCGGGTTTTTCAAGATACTGTTTTCTTCCAGAACACTCTGCAGTACTTTAAAGTAATCAACTACTACCTTTCTGGACATTGCTGTGCACCTCGCCAACGACAAACTTTCTGCTTTTCTAACACATATTTGTGGATCTCTGGTGAAAAATGAATGCAGCCAAACTTAACCAGCTTTCTGAAGCTGACTATTAAATTTATGTTTCAAGCCCAGCTGAACAGCAAATGTATAAGCTATGGTTCGCAAATCATCTCTAGTAAGTGGAAATCCACTTTTTGCATTTCTTTAATATGCCGAACCAGTATGTTTTCATGTGCAGCTCCGAAAGTAGTATCTGGACCCAATTTTTTCTTATGGTCTTCATTCTTTCGCCTTTTCAATGTCTTTCTCGGAATACCGAAAGTTTTTCCAGCCTGACGTACAGATAATCCCTCATCTTTAACAGTTCTCATTGCAGATTTCAGTTGCTCCTCGGTCCATTTGGCCCTCTCCAATGATTCTCTTTTATAAATATTTGGCATCTAAAATAAATACAAATGATCTACGATGGCCTTCTTACATAGGAAATAAGTGGGCCATCTCTCCTTTTCTTCGAGGAAAGATGGCCATAGCATGATTTAGATTTTATATACGTTAATTCGCGTAAAACGCTTAGGCAACACAAAATACACCACACATGGTAAAATAAACACCAGACGGATTGTTAAAAACTAATAAAATTTTATGAAATTTGGCTAGTGGAAAATTGTATTCAAAAACTGTTGAACCCATGTAAACAGTAATTTCAAAATAACTTACATTTAAACTTAGTTAATTGACTCAGAGTTTCTAGTATAGCACGATCACACAACAGTACATTACGCCTTATGGAAAAAAACGCCCTCTAACAACTATTTAGGAAAATATGGGTCATCTCTCCTCTATGGCCATATAATCTCGATTTACCCTATTAAACGACAGGCGACTTAGAATATCCGGACAATCATATTGGTTGTGAATAACCTTGAATAAGAATATCAGTGAGTGCATTTTTCTTCTGTGGTCTAAGCGTAATGTAAGAAAAGCTGCTCTTTTCAAACCTCTCTTGGTTCCAGGCACTTTATCACCTTTCGAAAAATGTAAGTCACACACCAAATAGCTTTTATAAATTTGTTCGTGATTTTTATTGTCAAAAATTGGATTTGCTCGATCCACTTGGTGAAAAGAGCGGTATCATATTTTGGAAATGTTTGCCTTTTAGTGATTGTATCAGTACAACTAGGCACGACGGACTTTTTAAATCCCCGCTTTCGATAAACCTCCATTACGAAAAGTAGGTAAGTTTGTGAATTGAAATTCAGTTAATGAATATCAGTTTCACCGACACAGAACTAATGAAAACGCCGGCGCCGCACAAGATTCAACTTTATATTCAACGTATATCAACGTCAAAGTATTAAACTGTCAAAAAGAACGGAAAACCTAGTATCAGCGTCACTCTGTTGTTACACTCCGTACTAAGTATATAAGAATATCTGGTTGCTTACAAAATGCACCTTCAAAGTCACTCATTTAACTTTCCCTTATAAAGTAGGTGTTATGTGCGTCAGAATGTATTTCCGCCTTAGGCCTGAGTGATGGCTCTGATTTAAAAAAAAATATGTGTTGTCGATAAATCTGGCAACATCGTATCAGCTCAGGACCTAATATATAAATTAAGTAACAGCCGCGTCAGAGATGAACAAAGGCTTTCAAAATAATTACCGAAAGAAGAGAGCCTGCTTATAAATAATAAATTATCGACTTGTTAGTCACTCGACGAAAACGCCGACGGTGCCGTGTGGGAACGAAAAGGGAGGGTGTTCGAAAAGACGCATCCTTACGCAACGGAAAGAGGGCGGGAGGGTTTCATATAGGGTTACATATTTGAGTGCTGTATGAATTTTAAGGTCGCACTGGCGTATTCTTCGCCCGCCCCCAAGGGCAGATCCAGGCCCCCTGATTGAGATCGACACCCCCGTCCCCCCTTTTAACTGTCACAAGGGCATTCTCTCTCAGTAGCCCTTGAAAGAACTCGATGAAGACGGAAGTGGTGGTACATACTTTCCAGTAAACAAATGAGGAGTTGATTGGATAATAAGGTTGAAAACGCCATGATTCGGAGCCAAAACGCGATTAAATATCTGGGTGTGCGGCTCGACAATGGTCTGAAAATGAGAAAACACTTAAAGACCACCATCACTCATAAGGTGAATAATCTCTGATAGGGCTGATACCGTGTAATGAGTACCCCACTTGTTGGATGCTACTCCGTCTTTACCCCATGGGGGTCGGATTTCGCTCTGATCAGTCGCAGACCCTGACGCCACATAGCTTAAAATGTTCCCGGTGGCTCTGACGTAGGATTTTGACCAGTGCGACAAACTCGACTATACTGTACGGAGCTCCTATCTATAACAATGCTTTGAGGAAAAAGAAATATAGGTATGTAAGGCTCAAAAGCTAGCAAAAGGTGGTGCTGCGCATGGCCTGGTTTTACAGAACGGTGTCACCGGATGCATTTATGGTAGTGGCTGGTATCCCGCCACTTGATTTGCTGGCACTATAAAACGAATGAAAGAGAATCTTGTTAGATTACAGGAGAGATGGGTTGCAACTGGTCGTGGTCAGGATGGTAGACCATAAATAGGTTTCTACTTACTGGTTGTACATGTATATAGGTACGTATGTATACGTACGACTTTGAGAATAAGATGACTAAATGTATTTGGTATCAAAACTTAGCACAGCGCTGCCTGTCATAAAGAAATGCTGCCGCCATTACCGTGGTGGGATGTGTAGCGAATGAATGAGGGGTTTTAACAGCAACGTATCTTAACTCAAGATAGTCAACCTAATACTGTATTCCAGTGTTCTCCGCGGTGAAATGAGACACCATGGCGTTACCTAGAATTTGTCACAGCAATTATCAAGAACCTACTTTGAAAAGGTTAGAGTTTCATAGATGACGCTGTAACCAACTACAGGAGCATATATTAGCATATAGTTGAATACATAGATTTCAAATTAGCAAGAGAGCAAGAACATAGCTGCGACAAATTCTCATAGACGATTCCGTAGTACCTCATTTCATGTCAAACATTTTTTGTACACTGGAGTACAGTATTAGGTTGGCTATCTCAACGTAAAATACGTCAATCAGTATGATTAGTACTAACCATATTTCTTGATAAGAGAACATGAACAGTTTTCGGAATGTTTACATTAATCGACTGTAAAGCTTACTATTCTACAATTTAATCTTTTAAAACTGAAACACTATATTGTTCCCAAAAAAGATTTTTAAAACTTATTTATTTGTAATAAGATTGTATTTACTGTCTCATGGAAAATTCAAATTGAGTGACTTATAACATATATCAGTCTCTCGATATTGGTAAACCAACTGTGTGTATTTGTAAATGAACCTATGAAAAATTATTTATGGAATCGAACAAAATTAATATCACATTTGGGGAATCCCATATCGCATTATACGGTGTACCCCAAGGTACAGTAGTACGACCCATTCGACCCAAATCGAAAATGATTTCAAAACGTTTACAAATTTCTTTTCTGAAAGAACTCTGACAATTAATTACAAAACAACATACTATATATAATCATTAAATCAGTATATACACGTAGTTAAACTAGAACCAAACTAAAGAGATGAAGTAGACAAAGAAATACATGGTAAATGAAGTTTTTCAGATAGAGTTAAGCAACGCAGACATTCGCAAAGAATCATGTATGTACTGAATGAATGTAATATTTATACTTTCAACTTTTTACTACCATACAGAATGTACAACGGCAGGAGCAGTAAATTTTATGGTAAGAGAGACCTAACCAATTTTATATCCACCTATAACTATCTATAGACAATAATGAAGAAATAACAAAGAATTGAATTTAAAAAGTATCATTGTTCCTACTGCATATCAAACAAATAACGTTTTAATTTGAACTTAAGCTTGTTCATGTTTAGAAGCTTGTGGAAGCTGAGTCATCCTGATCTCATTATATATGAATGATCTTAGGAACGTGGCGGTCTTGTGCTGAGAAACTGTGTATGTAGTTCAATATTGACCTAACATTCAAACGATTGAGCATCTCTGCACGGTATGGAATGTTCAATTTGACCTGGAGGATTTGAATTGCTGACCAATTTATGCTTGAAGTTACACAGCTATTGGTTAAGCCAGTCTCACTGGGCACGCGGGATATAGGGTCTATTTCCATAGCAGCTATTTTGAACCTGTTGTTTTGTTTTTGTTATATCAACACTAGTCAAACACGGCCCATAAATAAAGCTACAATAGTTGAAATGGCTAAGCACCAAAGTCTCACACAATGCTTTTCTCAGTTTTCTACTTAGAAATTGTCGACTGCGAGAAATGATTTTCAGATAACTGAATGCGTTATTTACTAGAGTTTGAGTATAGATAGAGAAACGCAGGCTCTACCTACAAAAAAACTAAAACACCCTTGAATGTCGTCAGCGTACACTTGCACTTTTACATTTTGTATTTCACTTAAAATATCTGCTGTGTATAATATTATGTATAGCAAGGACCCAAGCATAGACCCTTGTGGCACCTCCTACAGAATATCTATGCTTTACGGATAAGAATCATCAATATGGACTTTCTGAGAGCGTCTAAGTAAGAAGCAACATATCAAAAACAGTGAGGAATCAGTAAAACCATAGTACTCTAGCTTTGAACACAACAATTCATGATTGATGGTTTCAGAAACCTTGGAGAAGTCCAAAAGCACAAGAATTCTAGACAAATCTTGAACAT